AATGGGGGAACGGGGGAATGGGGGAACATGGAATGGGGAACAGGGAATGGGGGAACGGGGAATGGGAGAACAAGGGAACGAGAGAACAGGGAATGGGGGAACAGGCAATGGGGGAATGGGAGAACGGGGAATCAGGGAATGGGGGAACAGGCAATGTGGGAAGGGGGGAATGGGGGAGTGCGGAGCAGGGAATTTGGGAACGGGGAATGGGGGAACAGGGAAGGCTGCCTTTAAAATAGGTAACGGGAATGGGGAAATGCGGGAATGGGGAAATGCGGGAACGGGGGAATGCGGGAATGTAGGTTAACGAATTTTTCTTGAAACAGTCTAGCCAAAGAACGATTTAAACACGTGTTGAAAGGAAATCCACTGTGTTACAATTGTTTAAATGAAAGTGTTGGCGTGCACGGACTCTTTATTAATATGACTTTGAAAACAAGAAGAAAATAGTCGAACTACGGTAAAAGCAATATTCGTAGTGTTTTAATAATATAAAACGGTATATTAAAAATATCTATATTTTAAGTGTTTTATTACTGTGCATTAATACAATATTATTCAAGGTGTTTTTCAGGGTGTTCATAGTGAAAATTTAAAATTTAAATATTACTAAAAAGTAAACTCATGGTAAATTTTTCATGGCCCCTCTTTCAAAATATTTTTTTCATGTTCCCCCCTTTAAATATAATAAATTTTCATAGCCCCCCCCCCTCTTCCCCTGTGATTGAACTTGCATTCCAAACATATACTATAGGTCATAGGTGGCCCAATCTCCCAAGCGACAGGGACTTGTATATTATAGCAATGTATATTATAGTAAAAATATGTAATAAAATATAAATTTTAAAATGAAATTGACTTGTCTATTCGATAGTGTGTGTTCTCCTTTTATTCCTCTTTTGTTGGACTAATATTTTCCGAGACTTTGCACTCGATCAGTCTCGATGGTACTTGACCCTTGCGATTGGGCTACTGTGGTGCAATTAATGATTTTCGATGGCTGGGGGGGGGGGGTCCGGGAAATCCAAACAACAAATCCAATATGGCGGGAAAATTTATCTTGATCTTGTATAAAAACCACATGGACGAATTGAACTAAATTTTGGCACAAGAATGAGTTTAAAAAACATAGTCTGGCAAAAAGATCCTGTGGAGAATACCTGGAAACAGTTTTAAGAAATAATCTCGGCGAGATGCAGCGAAACGTGACTATGTAAATCTGTAAATATACAATTTATATCAAAAGATTTTCTTAATACTATGAACATATGTTATTTCAGTTTGAACCATTTGTCCTAGTTTAAGTTATGTGCCTTTATGAGTTTATGATCATTTCCCAAGTTTGTTTATGCCAAATTGCTTACAAAAGAATTAAAAACTCTTGACAAAATGAAGTTGAATTTTATTGAATTTCATCATGCTATGCATAAAATAAATAATCACTCGGGCAAGTCGTGCAATTAATTAACAGCTTGCGCAATTTTGGCACATTTTTCAAATATTACTCGTAGTGTTAATATAATTAAATGCACTCCTTCCTGTGTGATTACCTATACTTATATTGCATTGACATTTATATTACAGTGAACTATAATTGCTGATGTTTTATGATTATTGTACATTATTTTTGGTGCCCCCCCCTACCTTTCTTTGATATTTTTGGTAGCCCCCCTAGCTGGTTGATAAATTTTTGGTGCCCCCAAAAATTTGCTGAGTCAAGCAGACATTTGCAGAGTCTGTAATGAATGGTGGGTATTAGACCCCCCACACACCCCTAGCTACGTACGCCCCTGAGTAGGGCGCATCTGGGCACATTGTCACTTAATTAAATGATTAACAGGGTGCATACTAGGCAGATTGTCTGATTAATCCAATATTGGATGCCAGCACTCTCACCCTGATGAGTAAAATCGTCTGGCGTTAGACATTGTAAACAACAATAAAGTAGAGCGCATTGCCCCTTAAAGGGTTGAAACAAGATCGACAGGGAAGTAGCGACCGGGGGGGGGTAAATCTCCCCAACTGTAAAAATCAGGTAAAATTCAAGTTTAAATTTTGACATTTTCAGGTAAAATTTGCATATAAAGTCGTTATTTTTGCAAAATGGTTACCATTTTTGTAGAATATAGTCAATTTCGATCCAATTTGTTTGTGAATTTGCTTTAGAAAATGCTTGAAATGCAGTCCTGGAGCTTCAAAGTTAAAAAATGTAAACATTTTCTGGAGGAGGACCCCCAGATACCATTAGTAGGTGGAACTTGGGTATCATCAGAAGGTGGGACTTGGGGACCATTAGTAGGTGGGACTTGGGGACCGTTAGTAGGTAGGTTGAGGACCATTAGTAGGTGGGACTTGGGTCCCGTTAGTAGGCGGGACTTGGGACCATTAGTAGTTGGGACTTGGGGACCATTAATTTGTAGGTGAGGCTTGGGTACTGTTAGTAGGTGGGACTTGGGGAGTGTTTGTAGGTGGGACTTGAGGGCCATTAGTAGGTGGGACTTGGGGACCATTAATAGATGGGACTTGGTCACCATTAATGAGTAGGTGGGACTTGGGGACCATTAGTAGGTGGAACTTGGGGACCATTAATTAGTAGGTGAGACCTGGGTACTGCTAGGACTTGGGACTTGGTCACCATTAATGAGTAGGTGGGACTTGGGGATTATTAGTAGGTGGAACTTGGGGACCATTAATTAGTAGGTGAGACCTGGGTACTGCTAGTAGGTGGGAATGAGGACCATTAGTAGGTGGGACTTGGGGACCGTTAGTAACTGGGACTTGGGGACCATTAATATGTGGGACTTGGTCACCACTTATTAGTAGGTGGGACTTGGGGATCATTAGTAGGTAAGACTTGAGGACCGTTAGTAGGTTGTACTTGGGGACCGTTAATAGACCTGTGGGACTTGTTCACCATTAGTAGTAGGTGGCACTTGGTTACCATTAGTGGATGGCACTTTATAACAAACATACTTGCAAGGAGGTGAGTCCGGGATTGGACGCACCGAGGGTGGCTGGAAGTTTCCCAAGCGAGGTGAGTTCGGGAAACTTCCAGCCACCCGAAGTGCGTCCAATCCCAGACTCACCGAACCTGCTAGTATGTTTGTAAAAAGTATTAAAGAATTTACGCATTTTAGTATACAATTTCTTGTTTGGATAACCAACATTTTAGCCGCCAACATACTCCGCAAACAAACAAACTTAGGCTTAAATTGAAGCTAAAACAATTCTCTACAATATTCCCTTATTCTAGAAAAGAGAAAATGCACGCATTCTGCGAAAACTTTGCCAAGATTTATATAAACCTGCCCGTTCCGAACAAATTTCGGTTGCCACCTTTCTTCACTTCCACTTTCAATACAGAATTAATATTCATCAAACAAAATAAAAAAATAATAATTATAAAACAATTAAAAACAGTTAATTTATTTTTTATTTAAATCTTCGTCGGAAATTTATTCAAGTCGCTTCAAAATGGCCGCCGCCGAAACATCGATCTCGAACCCACCTCCTAAACATACGTCCAGTGTGACCAGATATTTTGCAAGGCAATTACTAAATAAGCATGCAAAAAATTACCAAAACGTAGAAAAAATTACTAAATTTCTGCTGTCAACCAAAGTGGTCTGAAAATCAATAAAACATCTCAGCAAAACAAAATCAGTAAAACGCTTTCCATCACTGAAACTATGTTTTATCCATGTTTTTCTTTCACACTTATGTACTTTTTGGTTGCAATTGTGCAAAATGCAAATATGACGCCGCAATGATTGTGGCCGGTCCCCAGGTCCCTAGCCCGCAATCAGCATAGGGTGAGTGGTGATCAGCAGGGTTCCCTCGATTCAGCTGGACAGCTTGGGCCAGAAGCTTGCAATTTGGATGTACAGCTTTGCAAGCATGGACATGCAACTGTTCTCGTTGAATTTTTGAATAACAGGTTGTGTCATTATGGTGTATTTGGTTGAATTTCATGAGATAACCAAAATATAACTTTAAGAGAAATTGCTAAAAAAATTACCAAAAATTTTC